AAAAAAGATTAATATCTATTACTTAATAATTTAAAATCATTCCATAAGTTTATTTTTGTAGACAATCTAACTAATTATAAACAAATGAAATAAGACAAATTAAATACACTTACAATGTTTTTGTGTCGCTTAACAACTATTTGTATGACCATGTCCGTGGCCAGCATTTGAACAAACAAGCTACCATTTTTAAGTTTGAAAAACTTCTCTTTTCCTTCTAATTTATACTTGATGTAACAGAGATCTAACAGAGATTTAATTTTCACATCAGGTTTCTATAACAGAGGAACCAAAAACGGAAAAACAAAAGAGTAAAGGACCATTAAATTGGTACTAGTCACATAAGTTAAGGACCAAACTGGGCGATTATCAAGCCTTTCAAAAAAATAGTATATCTATTAGGGGTGGACTGTTTGCTTAAAAGATTTTGAGTGTTCACACTGACTTCTCAGATGGAGTTAATGGAGTCTTCATCACTGCCTTCAGTGTCGCTGCTACTACTGCTGCTTCCGCTCCCACTTCCACTGCTACTGCTGGAACTAGATGTTTGCCCATTCCTCTCACCTGCATTCACCTGAGCTCTAAGGGCATCCGCAGCATTTGGTCCCTTTGCTGCTTCGTCACCACAATCATCTACATTGGCAATCTCATCGTCGGTGTCATTTTGCTGTGAAGCTTTGATATCGAATCCAGCATTGCCTTTCTGTTCATTTGTCTTTCCTTCATCAGGATCCTCACCAAAGATCATCTCATACATTAATGTATCTTGATGTTCCTCAGCTTCATCATCCTTAGGGTCTGGTGAGGCAGTGGATGCGTTTGGCAGTTCAGATGGATGCTCAGCAATCCCCTTACCAACAGCTGCTTTTCCACCTATTATATAAAATAATGTAGATTAACTATATTTTAGATCCTCAAACAAACAAAAAAGAGGAGTCCTTTTTGTTCTTTTTGACACAAAGAAGTTCAATTTTTTCACGTTTTTCATCCCATAATGCAGTGAACAGGACAGCATAGTGCCTCATACTTCACAAAAAGTTGTCATATTAAAACTAAAACTGCTTAACAATGTTGCTGATTTGGTTCAGGTGTGGAAAAAGATTCAAGTGCTTGACCTGTGAACATGTTAAGTTTAAGAAATCTGATACAACTGGAAACAATACAAAAATGGTAACATCAGTACTAAGGGATTCTAACAACTAAGGAAACCAATATGAATATACATATAACTTCTATGCACATAATTTTTCTCAACACATACCAATCTGTTTGATGTGGAAAGTATTCATGATAATAAGTAAAAACAAATTAAAAATCTTCATCTAATTTAATGAATTAGGACTTTGGGTAGTCCAACTAATATCTGTTAGTTGACAGCCACTTGTAGAAGAAAACAAAAGAGAAGTACCAATACCACTAATACCTATTTCATAAGAACTGACCAAAAAATTAGCAAGTTCAACAAACCTGGATTCTCTGGCGCAGCAATATCAATTTTTTCCACCTCAACCTGTAGAAAACCATGACAAAAGAGATCTTATATATGGAGAAAGAAGAGATGAAAGATAACATTTAGCTTATACTCCTTTTAAGATTAAAGCACACCACAAACTACAAAGCTGACAATTTGATGTAAGGCTTACAAGAAAGAAACTGAATTAGAACTAGCATATTCTTAAAGCATGAAAAAGGTAAAGTAGGTCAGGATGCTAATCTTTGAACAACTATTGATCTTTTTCTCTACAAAAAATAAAAAAATAAAAAATAAAAATAAAAATCAGCATCTCCGAATTGCAGGAACATATGTGTATCAACAGAAGGCTAGGACAAATTAAGTATCCACCATGATTTGTGCACTAATTGATGCCTCCTTGAACAGAAGTTGAAGGGGTTGTCTTGTTAGTCTAGATAGCTTTTCTTTATCGATGAAAGTATCGTTTCATTTAGTCCTTGGCAATTTCTCTAAGCTATATGGCTTAACCAGTCCACTAATTAAATGAAGGAAACCAAATGGTAAGTGATCTCCCAGCAAAGTCACAAGGCATTCAAATTCTCAAGAAAGTTCCTCTTAATTTCTTTCTCTTTCATTAAGCTTAGGCATTTAACAGGATTATATCCTGGTTAAAATGACACAGCACCAAAGAAAGAGATATCAAGAATCTAATGAAACCTCAATTCCAAAGTTAAATAGCAATCCTCCAAATGACTGAATCGAAACCTATTCGGCATTACTTGAGTGAATTTCAAAACAATTCTTTTTCAATCAATGCCATTATTGTTCTTTTCTCAAGACTACTGTCTCCATTGCTATAGTTTCTGCTTCATAATTCACATCTGTTAGATTTGTTCAATTTCATCCTTCTATTTTCAATCATTATTGCATGATTTGATGATACGTTCACAAAACTGCAATGGATATTGCTTCAAATTGGATATGTTTCAGCAAACCGTGATGCAATTAGGATTTCTTCAACTCAATCTACCAACATTTTGCAACTTGGGCTCTGGAAGCAACTTAACACATCCCAATTTTAAGCATAATCAACCAGTAATTATAATTATAGCAATAACTCACCGCCACTGGAGGAACTGAGCTCCTACCAACAAGCATTGGCTTGGCTCCCTTTCCAACCGGCGACAGACGAGGTTCAGCCGCTGCCATAGCAGCCGCGGACTCTCCAGGTTGCCTCCGGTGCCTAAGCTGGTTGACAGCCCGATGAAGCCGCTCCAACCGAAACGTCTGGCCATCAAAGAACAACACGGCGTCATTCTCCCTGTAATCCTCGCTGCTCCCATCGAACGTCACCTTGGGTTTTCCCAGTTGATTGTTCTGAAATTCCACCGTCACCCTGTTATCCTTATTCTTATGCAGCGATCCAGGCTTGGTCTTATCGATCGACGCCGGCTTAAACTCATCTACACAAAAATCAAATCAATCGAATCGTAAACAAACAGACAATCATAAAATTGAAGATCACAGATTCTTTCTTTTAGGGGCGCTTACATCGTAAAGTGCAGTATTTATTGGGGGTATCGTCGGTGAAGGAAGAGCCGAGGGTGAGGTTGTACCAACGGCCGGATTGCGGAGCGGTGTCGGGCTCTTTTCTGGAGTTTGCCATTTGTT